TGTACAATCATTAGTGGGTTACAACACTTACAACACACTCACATTAGTGCGGGCCCCACCAATTAATTAATTGGTGGGACCTACACTAATGTGAGTGTGTTGTAAGTGTTGTAACCCACTAATGATTGTACCAATAGCTTTTTTGAATTCTTTAATATGCATTTGTCCATCAAAGTTTACATATCTATATGGTTCAGTTTTATAAGGTACTAAACTCTTATTTCTTATTGAAATTATATGACATTCACTAGCTCATATATCTATTAATATATTTGGTCCTGATATTCTATCCCTTCCATTGAAATATTCTCCATTTATTTTCATATTTCTTGTATTCCTATGTAATTTTATTTCTCTTGTATGACTATTTTCTCCTAATAATCTAAGTATTTTAAGACTTGTTCTTCTTATTAATTTTCTATCTTTAATTATTATATTTTTATCATGCCATTCTTCTTCTCTAAACTCTATTATATCGGGTTTATCCGTTGATATCTTAAATTTATATTCATTTGGAATCAAATTTACCTGTTTATTTGGTTCTATAATTTTACGAATATATTTACATTCCTTATGAACTTTTATATATGATTTTTTAGAATAAATATTCCCATAATTAGAATTGGTAAATATATATAAAGCTCTATATTCAATAGTCATGATTTGGTCTCCTGGTTGCATTATATCATTCCTATGTAACTTAAAATGCAATCCTAAGATTTCATTAAATTTTTTATCTTTTAATGAGATACAATATTTTGGATAACAAGTAAATATCATTTTTCTATATGCTGAATTTCATTCTATGGTTCCTAAATGACTATCTCTTAAATTTATTATTCTTCCATCATGTAAACTTACTGTTAAGAGTGAATCTATTCATTTTCTAAATAAGGATTTAAACATTATTTGTGTTCAAACTAAATAAACATATTGAATCTTTTCACTTTATTTTTTATTAATTTTTGATAATAACTCATCAACTATATTTTTTGTTAAAATGTTTAATTTATGCGTTCCTTGAGTTGTTCTAACATCTATAATTTTTTCAATCTTATGGTATTCATTTATCTATCTTTTCTCTTTTCCAAATTTTATCAAAAATTTCTCATTTTCCTACTTTTAGATTTAAAGATAGTTTTTGTAATTTTTTGAATTTATTATTGTCAAATATTACCTTTAATCAATATCCTTCTATTTCTTCGTATTCCTGTATTTCTATATTATTATTTTCTATTTCTTTGATCTCTTTATTCGGATTCTGACTTATTTTCTTCTGATTTTGTTTCACTTATATATACTTCTTGATCATAATATTTTTCAATATCATATATTTCACTTAATTCATTTTCTATTCCTAAATATCTTATTTGTGATATTCCAACTTTCTTTTTATTACAATCTGGATTTATATGACATATTTCTCTACAATTTCAATATTTACATTGACTTTTATCTTTTTTTTATAGGGTTTATTATTTTGTTTATTCAGTTTAAACATTCTCTTATATTATCTTTTTCTAGGTTTTATATTCCCTTTCTTAAAAATTTCTGAATTTTGTAAATCTTCTATTTTTATATTTTCTCTTATTTTTTTCTTTCAGGATAACATCCCCATTGTGTAGATTTTTCAATATTTTCACAGCATATTCTTTTTCATTTTCCCGATCTTTTTAATACTTGTCTTTGTTAATATATATATTAACTAAAGTTCTTGGTATTCATGTATTATCCTTAATATATTTTTCAAATTCTATTTTGAAATATATTGTCCATATTCCTGATAATTTAGTATAATACATATCTAAGTATACTTCTTGATTTTCATTACTATAGAATTGTAAGTATTAGTAATTTCTAAATTCATAGGTATATTTTTTTATTTTACACATATTACAAATTGATAAATTTATTAATTTCATCCTAACATCTTCTTTTTCTCTTCTTGCTTCTTCTTCAGAATTTCTAATCCATTCTTCTCCTAAGAATTCACTTACAATGTATGCTACTAATCTTTATATTCCTTCTTTATGTCATTTTATTATTTCTGTTTGTATATCTTCTCATCATTGATTTTGTATCATTATTTATTCCTTCCCACCAATTTCTAACATTTCCTTCAAATGATGCTGTTAAGAAATCTATCATTCTTTCTGTGTTTTCTCATGTATCATATTTGTTATATAAAAAGAATAGTATCATTAAGTCTGCCCAAGTTATTAAAGCTTTTTTAGTATCTATTTTACAATCTAAGTCTAACTTTGTTCCTCCATGATTAATTGGTTATCATAATTATCATTTAACACAAACCTATCTTTATATTTACTTCCTCTAGGTGGTCGTCTATTTCTTACTTTATCATAGAATTGTTTATATGGTTTATTATATATAGGTGCATAACTTTCATCTGAATCAAATTTTTGATTAGAGGTTCCTGTTGGGATATGTCCTCCTCCAGTATTCATTAGAAGTTGGTATTCATCTATATTTTCTAAACTTAATTGATCAAAATTTTCTATTAGTAGATCTAGTTCTTCATTCATCTTTCATTTCTTCCGTAATTTTTCCTTTTTCTAGTAAAATTTTGGAATTTTCTTCTTCTTCTAATATTTTTGGTAAAATATATTTTCTAAAATTATCATCCATACTTCCCGTTTCTATAGCTAGGTTTTCTTGTTCTATGTGTTTCTTTCCAATTTTTGACATTTCTTTTTCTATAATTTTTTTTTCTATTTTCTTGTCTTTGCATTTTTTTTTTTAAATTCTCTAATTTCAATTTTTAGTATATCTAATTCTTCTTTTATTTCATTCCTTAAATTTTGTACATCAGCTATTAACATTTTTATTAATGTTGTTAGATCTTCCATTTAATTATTCATTATCTTTTCTTTGATTGGTTGCAATAATATATTCTACATTCAGTATCTTTACAATCTTTTATAATTCTATCATACTTTTGCTTTTTAAGTTCATCATTTGTTAGTTTTTTTAATTCCTCAAAATAATTTGTTCATTCCTTATATTTTTCCTCTTTTAATTTCAATATTCGATTTTCTTGATATTTTGTTGATTTTTCAGGAGTTAATAATTTATCTAGTATTTGATGATTAATTATTTTTATTACTTTTAATTTTTTAGCCAAATTATTTTCCATATTAATTTTTTAGATCTTACTTTTGATTGACTTAAATAATATATTCTACATTCATTATCTTTTGATTCTATTGCATTTTTTTTAAATGAGAATTTTTCATATTCTGTACTTGGAAGTCGTGTCAAATTCTTATAATATCTAGCTTTTATTCTAGATATTTCTTGTTTTAATTTTAATATTTGTTTTTCTTGTCTATTTGTCAACTTTTTTGGTCTATTTTCTTCTTGTTGTTCTGGTATTAACCATACATCCTCTATTTGTTGGTTTAATTTATATATTGTATTATAATCTTTATCAAGTTTTTCTCTAAATTTTTCTATATTAAGCATTATTCTTTCATGTAAATCCATAATTTTCTTTGTAATAAAGTATTATTTATTCTTTTTCAATTTCTTTTCTAATTTTATAGTACATATATATTCATCTATTATTTATCCTATTGTTAGTTTATTTAAATATTTATTCTATTATTTCTCTAGGTAATTTTTTAGGAGAGAGTTCTATTATATATTCTCTTTCATTATCTTTTATTATATAATACCAGTCTGTTTTAGTAATTATAATTTCTATATTTTCTTTATTTTTAGTCGTATCTACTTATTTCTTTTACAATTAAATCATACATATGTTTTTCATAGGTTTCTAATATCATTTCATAAGTGTACATATTTTTAACAATTTCTAATCTTATTTTTTCAATTATAAATTGTTTTATTTCTATAGGTAAGTTTTCAAGTATTTTTAATGTAATTATTACATTTTTATTACATAATATTCGTTTTATAATTATTATGTTAAAATTTTCTTTTATCGTATGGTATTTATTACCTAAATCTTCAATTTTCATTATCTTAATGATTTTTCTTTTAGTAATAATATTTTTATGATTTTTATAATTCCTATAGATCCTATTGGCTCTGATACCAAAGTTGGGGGTGCTACTATGAGCGAACAAAAATAAAAAATTTTAAAAGCTTAATAAAAATTTTAAAATCTAATAATCTTTAAATTCTTTAAAATGGTCTTTACGGATTTTTCGTTAACTTAAATATTTTTATGTTTGCAGTTTTATTATTTATAATGTGTTGAGTAAATTTTCAAAATTTAGTAATATTTGAAAATTTCTAATATCAAAATCTGTTATTATATCTATATTTGGATTAAAAGATATATCACATTTTAAAATATTCTTTCTTCTTTTTTCTAATTTATCTATTATATCTTGTGTATCTTTTGTTATTATAGATCTTATTATACTTTTAGCAAAATTTTCTATCATATTTTCTTTGAAACATTTTAATATTTTTTGTGATGCAATTAATTGTTCTTGATATCCAATTTTGTCAAATTCATTATTAAATTCAATTTCTTTTTTATCTTTTGCAATATTCTTAATCTTATATGGTCCTCTTTTAGATTTAGATTTTTTATAAATCATTTTATAATAATCTAATTCTTTAGGACTTGAATGTACTCTTTTCATATCTTGGTAGCTTTATATAAATATTTTTCTTGGGGCATTTTAGGTATTTCCAATTTTTTAGAAAAGTCAAAGGCCATTTTTGAAATATGGCTTTATATTTAGGCTATCTATGCATATATCCTCACAAAAAGAGTTACGAAAAAATAGTTGGCAAACGGGGCTAATAACAATATTATACTTGGCAGAATCCTAAGTAGCAATCTGGAAAGAGAATTCTGGCAGTATCCTTAACAGCAAATCTTGAAATAAAATTTATTAAAAACATTGAATTATTGTTTGACATCCAATTATACAGAAATGATGAAGTACAAATAATTGAGAATTAACATGATTAATAAATTCCAGAAAAATTAAAAATAAAAATCAAAGACCAGATGTAAAAGGCACATTGGTTCCAGGCAGCCAAGAATTCGCTGCAATGAAGTTCCCAGGTGTGAATCTTGAAGCTTCACTGGCACTGGTGATAACCCGATAACCCTTCCATGTAACCCGCCTGGATGTGGAGGATCCAGCACCCGTATTCATATACTCACCATAGTACAGTGTATCTAAAGCAAAGTTTCCACTCCAAGGCATCCAACCCGCCGGGTCAATCAAGCTATCCAAGAAAGTCTTCATAAAAACGGTACGTGAGTATTCCTGCCAGGGTCGACCCAGATATGTTCTGACGGAGCTTTGAACCGGTTTCAAATCCGAAGCCGCTGTAACCCTACAGTTGTGAATGGAGATGCCGGTGTTTTGGTTTGGGTCTGTCCTGCCTTGTGCAGTTAAAGTGTTGGTCCTGTTTGGAGGCCTTCTTGCATAGATGTTGCAGTTTTGCAACACAACAGCTGCATTGCCGAAAATGAAATCTACCGTTCCATAAATATCGCATTCTCTGTAGAATTGTCTCTCCGAATGGACATAGAGAGTATCTTGGTATCCCTCAAAGCTGCACTGGTAAAATACTGAGAGGTCGGATCCGGATCGGAGCGCCACCGCCTGGTGATTTTCGGGTCCGGCAGTGTTTCTAAATGTTATGCCCCGAGCAATAAATCCATCTCCAACAACAGCTGAATATCGTAAATTCACGCAAGTTAATAAGCATTAATTGCCTTATGGCGGTGTGACAAAAAAAAAGGGGGAATTCTTCACAAGAGACTAAAATAATTTTAGGGGTGTGGATAACAGAGAATTGTAGTCAAAAATATTTTTGGGAAAAAATAATTTTTAAAAAATTTCTCTCAAACAAATCCTTACATTTTTTAACCAAAAAATGAAAGAAAATAAAATTGGGAATTGAGATCCCATTTATAAAAATCAACTTATTGAGAGAAGGATCTCAACTTCTTATATGCGAGTTAGCCCCTGTTGGACGACCATTTTTGGTAGAAAATAGACTTTTGAATGTGAATTTCTGGAAAATGTGATTAAAAAGTAAGAAAAAGTTTTGAATTTACGTGTAGAATATTTTATTGTGTGAACGTGTACGTAAAAATGAGCATGTTAGAAAAGGTTTGAAAATAATGACTGTCAGACGAGGATTTAATATTTCTTTTTATTTGATGTGAGATTTTAATTTTAACAAATGGTAGGTGGTGGCTGTGCTACACTCGTATAACATTTGTCAAATTCCTAACTATACTTATAGCTTGTTTGGTAGAGATTTTTTTGAGAAGAATTGATTTTGAATAGTAATATGATGGGAAAAGTGTGGTTGAAAAAGAAGAAAAAATTATTGATGTGATTGAAAATATTATTTTATTGAAAAATGTGTGATTGAAAATGAGAATTGACTGTAACAAAATGAGAATCCCTACCAAACAAGCCATTAATTGTGTTAACGGTTTATTGAACAAGTAATTGACTCTGACATAAGAATTCTTTTTCCAAATATAAAACATACCCAAGATATGGTACTATCGGTCTGTTTGGTACGGCTCAAAATCCAATTAAAATTGAAAATATAGCCGTTATTGGGTCTCACTCATCTAATAAAACCCAAGATATTTCTTTTTAATTTGTTCAACAATTTAAGTGCAACAGTGTTTCATGCCTTATTTCTAAAATTCAACCTTTCATGATAAATTATTTTTATGGATTCTTTCACTTACCAACTGTGGCGGATTTGAAAGTGGTGGCGCCTCCTCCGACGCTCTTGCTCCCTGTGATAATAGTCTTCCCAATACCGTCCCCCACCAGCATAATATTCGTTAAACCATTTCCAATATCTACGTTCTCCCTGTAAGTCCCTTGTTTCACATGTATCACGTACCTTCCACTTCCCGATCGCTTTCCGGCAGCCGTGATGGCTTCATTCACAGTCTTATAGTTCCCGGAGCCATCTTGCGCTACCACAATATTTGGCTGAGGAGATGATGACTGAAGAAGTTTCCGGTCACCGGGTGACACCCATGTTGGAAATCCTTCTTTGTAACTTGGCTCCCCATATGGCCCTTTGTTCAAATATAGTGTGTTACTAATTAATTTAGTAACATTATTTGACATTAAAGGCAATACGTAATCGGCGACCCCGAAATCAAGAAACCCTCTTGTGCACGTCTCGAGATTGGTTAAGGCCGTGCTTAGCCATGTTTGCATGTCGACCGAAGTACACTTAGTACTAGGATCAACTGTCTTGTTGATTTTCATAATGGTATTTTCATATAACTCTAGACAATCGGCCCATGCAGCCTTTTCCTTAGCGTTACGACATTTTTTGCCAAGAGAATACGTGTTCACTTGGGCATTCATGGCGCGGTCTAGGGCTAATTTCATAGACATCTTGAAGAAATCGGACTTTCCCTTGATAGGAAATCCATATTTAGGGTTTTGTTCCATGAAGTGCTCACAAGGCTTTGGATATGGGGTTTGAGCGCACCATGCCTTAATCCCGTCCCGAGAATTGCCGGAAATGGCTGGAGAAATAAAGAAGGATGCAATAACGAGTGTTAGAATAGCAAATGCCATTGCCATGGTAAATGAGAGATTTTTGTTGTGTGTTTTTGTGTCTTAATTGCCTTGCTTTATATAGAAGTGAAATAACTGGAACTTTTGGAACAAATAGTGATTGGGACGCACTAACCAGAAATGAAATATATATATATTTATTTATTTTTCTGTTAGAATAATCAATTCCTCATGCAGATTGCAGTTCTGTTTACGGATATACCACTTTCTACAAATGAATAGAGAGAGTTGACCTGAGAATATAGAAGAAGAGAGATTAGGTTTTGCACGTAACGCGTGAATGAAAATGTTCTAAGTTACAATTTATGACCCTTGGCCCCAAGTTTTATTTTCTCCTACAAATTAAAGTCAGCTTTGATGAGCCAACTTTGCCTAGCTTGTAGATAATTGATAATCTTTTTATTTTTTCTTGCTTTAAAATTGAAATACTATGTTCTTTTATAGACTTTTTGTTATAAAAAGTTGAAATAAAACTAGCAATTGTGGTATTATAGTCAGAGGCAAAGTCGGAGAGGACAATTTTTTTTCACATAACTAATACATACATTTTTTACATATATAAAAAAAAAAATGTCCTTGATCAACCTTGGACTAACGTCTAGGTGTGCCCTTAGTGGTGGCAATGGACCGAACCGACTATCCATGAGCTCGGCTTGTCAAGCTTGTTCGAGCACGAACCGAGCTCTACTCAAGGCTTGGCCCACGAGCCGAGCCCACGAGCTTGTGTGTTTTTCTTTTTAAATTTTTTTTTTTTTGAACTTTTTTTACTTCAGATTTTTACGTGCCCACAGGCCGTTCACGAGCTCGACGAGCCAGCCTTGCTCGGTTCGGGGCTCGTCCCAAAACGAGCCCGAACTGTCCATGAGTTGAGCTTTGACGAGCCGAGCCGACAGCTACCTGACCCTTTTGCCACCCCTAGGTGCCCTCATATCTCCGCCCCTGATAACAGCTGAAAACTAGAAATAAAATTATGTTGAAATTTGTAACTAAATCATCGGTGGATAATCATCGATGGGATTTTGCAATCAGAAATTACCAATGAATGTTCTAAATGATTGTTTAACTAAAAAATTCATTCTTTAATCATGTCAAATCTCAATGTACTAAATATGTCGTGAAGGGTCCCAATTTTTTCATGTATTGATCAAGATGTACACGTAGGCCGGACAGATGACTAGAAGCTTGGAAACATTCAAGTTAACTCAATTTATTGTTTTTTAGTTCAGTTTGACAATTTCCACGGAAACAACAGGCAAATAGTAAAGTCCTAATCTGTGGAGTGACTATAGTAATTATATAATTAACTCATAATTTTGTACTAACTTCCTGATTTTGACTTCAAGAATTCGTACTGGAAGGTGGAAAAATCCAAATTGTTGTTATATTGCATGTCTACGTCATATTGATTTCGCTATTAAATTACCCTAAAATAATTAGTCAGAACAATTCATTTCTTAGGGTATGTTTGGCAGGAGTTCTATTTTATCTTTACTTCTTGTGAAAGAACTTTCAGAGCAAACTATTCTTACCAGATAAAGTACACAGTTTTTAACTTCTTAAGAACCATATCAAACGGACCTTTAATTTTTTCGAAGATCGAGGTTTTATATCTTTTATTAAAAAAAAGGAGGGTTCTCCGAGTTTCATCATCCATGTGGCCTATTTATAACTAATACAGGTAATTACGAATGTAAATTAGTGTTAGGGTAGCCCATGTTTGGTGGAGATAAAATTCAAATTTTCCGTAAATTTTGATTTTAAATTCTACCAAACAGGGTTTGATATAATATTAATGACCACATTTACCTTCGTTTCTTCTTTCGTACAAAGTTTAATTAGTCTATATAGGTATGCTTTTACATACAGGAAGGGTCCCTCATAGCGATTCAAGGAATAGGGTTGACACTGAAAGTAAATTGGATCGAAACACATTTGTTTTAATAGATCATCGAGTATCGACTAATCTATTTAATATATCATTTTTTGTTGAAATATTAGAGGAGCAAGTACACGAACACAAGAAAATGTATCTTGATGGAATGATTTGGAACATCAACTGACTGACTATAGGTGTACCATAAATGGTAAAATGATTAAATACAAAAATAAAGAAAATGAGAAAAAAATTTGGAAGTCTAGCTAGGTTGTGTTGTTAAATAGTTATATCTAACATTGTATCTGATTTGCAGTGCACTAAAACTTTGTTTTAGATTTACTACATCGATTGCTCAAGTTTAATTGGTAAAATTTTATTACGCACAAATACATTCAAATAACCACGAAAGTACATATAAATACTCAGAAAGAGACACTAACAACCGTTAGTGACGAGAGCACCTCTTGATAAGTGTGCTACATAAATTTTTAAATCTACTTAATATTTGATTATTTGAATAGATTTGCACTTATTTTAGTGTATATATTATTTTATTAGGTATAAGCCTTGACTTGGAGACAAATTGAGCAAAAATGAAGAGATTTGTAGCTTAATTCGAGCAAAACGTGTGGAAACGAACCGCTACCGGGAAGGGCTTCATTGGAAACTTGAAATAGTTGATTGGATGAATTCACGGGTTTTAGGGTCCAAATTTGATATTTGGAAAGTTCGTGTACCAAAAGTGGATGAAATAAAAACCTTGAGGTCAAAACTTGGAGCTTTATAGAACTTGAAGGACCGAAATTGAAAAGACCCAGAGTTGGAGAACTAAATTAGATGATGTTTCAAGTTCATGTACTGAAATGAATGAAATCAAAAGTTGAATGACTATATCTGTAACGCCCCGAAAATTTTAAAGAATATAATTTATTTGTTCTATATGCTATATATTTATATTCTGAAAAGTTGAAAGATTAAAGTAAAATATGTTTTAAATTCTTTTTATTTTGATCAAATAATTAGATTTTGATAAAGGGAAAATAAGTGTATCGATATTGAACTATTTTTGTAGCTCGTAAGTAATTAGAAGATTTCAACACCAGAAAGAGTTATTAGATTAGACTACATCAATTTAAGTCTAATTAAAAAAATAATAGGTTAATATAGTTGGTGGGGACTTACAATATTAATTAAGTAAAAAAAATTATTAAGATGGAATCTCAAGTCATAACATGGTATTAGAACCCATCAAATTTCAATGAGTGATTCGATCTTATTCGGAAAATGAGCACACGGATTTCAATGGGATAAATCTCATATCAAATAAAAATGAAAGATATAGACAAACTTATAAACGATTAGACTATTCATTTTAATAATGTTGACATTTTCTTAATTGTAGCTTGTAATGTAATCTAACCTCTCCATTATTCAAAGAAGAATGTCAAATTTTCAATAGGATTGTTGGTTATAAAATCTATCCATTACAACTAATCTATTCGTCCGTATCTTAGATATAGTACTAAGTTATAGATTCACCAGCAAAACTTCATAAATTTCACCTACTTGTGCACCAACATCAATGAATATAAGTAGTTCAAACCCTTATTTCATACTTAATCGATATAAAATTTTATCGTTAATATATCCCGTACGATGGTTTGAAATATGGTTTTTAATTTTGTTAATTTGAATAATGCGTAACCAAAAGACTTTCAGACGAGGAGGGGGATTATGGAGTTTTCTCGACTTGTGTATTCATAAAATTGAAAGGGTTTGTCGAAAGACTTAAACTGTCTAAAAAGAGTTTGAGATTTAAACGATCCACTTGGGATCCCCATATTTAATCTGAAAGCCTTTTGACTACGCGTTATTCAAATTAACAAAACAAAAATCATATTTCAAACCATCTAGCGAGATATATTAACGATAAAATTTTATATCATTAAATATGAAATAAGGGTTTGAACTACTTATATTCATTGATGTTGGTGCACAAGTAGGTGACATGTTATAATATTCAAACATATGAAATAATTTTTCAGAATTTATAACTCAGTACTATTTCTAAGATACAGAGGAATAGATTAGTTGTAATGGATAGATTCTGTGACCAACAATCCTATTGAACATTTGACATTCTTCTTTGAATAATTGAGAGGATAGAGTACATTATGAGCTACAATTAAGAAAATATTTGTTGATGATTTCTATGTGTATATATAAATCAACTAGGTTGTTAGATATATAATTCAATAATGACAGCTAAATATATATGACAAATTCGTCGCAATCTTGTTTTAGATAAGGAATGACCATAAAAAATATATATGACAAATTCGTCAAACGGGTCCAAGAAATTAGCTAGTTTACTCGTTATTGAAATGAACGTCAATTTCAAATGGATAATTGCAATTTTTTTTTTTAATATAATGGAAGCTTTCCTAAGATGAGAAATAATATGATATAAGAATATGAATTTACATCTATAATTTTTTAAATTATGCAACGCTTTCTGTGTTTAAAAATTGTTATTCAATTAGGCACTTGATTTCTTAGTGTGATTGTTTAATCTAAACCATAACGTAATTCGTTAGTCAAACTGCATGACAAGTCCCACCTTATTACAAGTGATTTGATGTCATTTGACTTCTTCAAGTTTAATAAATCTCGTAATTCGATTCTCTAATTCGTTCACTTGATCCGATGCTAAGTTGTTGAATCCAACGTATTTTTGGATGAACAAATCCGAAGTTGAATAGCCTAATTACTTGTTTTTCAAGTGAACATGCCATTCTATACAATTTCATTACAATCGAATTATCTTTTTAATTTATATTCGAGTTAGATTATGCCTAACCATGCAAAGAAAGAATTGTGATTTCACAATAATCTTAGTCTCGATGATAGCAGGAATGATAAAGGATTTGTAAAAATTAAAAATAAAATAAAATAAATTTAAAACATTTAAAAAAATTTTAAAATTTTTTAAAATTTTCCCATTTAATTAGTCCACGTAATAATAATTAAATCAAAATACTGTTCTCCATCCCCCCATCTAGCAGCATAATTTATTATTATTATTATTATTATTATTATTTTTTTTTTTTTCATCATCATCATC